CTTACTTTCATTTCTTTCCTACTCTCAAATCTCAGCAGGAAGGACAAAAATTGGTGGCCTGGGTAATACAAAATCAAATAACTTTGAGTTGTATTTGCACATCTGGAGTAAGGATCTGATCCTGCATCACCGCATCCATCGGTGCTGAGTGGGTGACTTAAATTTTATGATGCTTTAGAAGGAGAGAAGAGGGATCCAGTATTGGCCACTGATACACCACAGGTCAGCCTAGAGGGTAGGAGCTGCCATCACAAAGAAGTTGTAGATGGTGCTGAGCCTACAGGTTCCAAAGGATAAATATGAAAACATGGCAGCAAACCATAGGGAAATCCTCTTCCATCTCATGTCTCATCCTGACCTCAAAGAAATATTGTAAAATCTTTGGGACCTAGTACTTAATGGCTATTTTGTGTTCTCATTACTGTTACTGCAACAGCTCTGAAAAGCCTGGTACCCATTGCTTTGTGGCAGAAATATCAGAAGAGCCATAGTAGAACCGTTTGCTTAGGGCCACCAGGGACTGGATGTTGCAACACAGAAGATTCCAAGTTATAAACTGAATTTACGGAGAGATTTTAAACTTCTTGTTTTTGTCTGCTAGCTATGTTTACTATGCAGTGACTTATAAATTAGGGAACTCCAAGTCTGCACATGAAAATATGTTGAAAATTCACTATTCTTTTGCAACACATTGATAAGCAGGAAAGTGAACTGGAAGATATACAGTTATCATTTTCTGTGAAGACATACATTTATCATTTTCCACAGGTTTTATTAGTGTGCGGAGGCCACACAGTTTTATGACTCTAAGATTACAAAACCTCCTTGAACTTCCTCCTCTGAATCCTTTCTAGATATGAATTGGTGGCGTAAGTGACCTCATCGTGTCCTGGTGAGGGTGTCATTTGGCCAGGGAAGGGGGAAGATGCCATGAGATGTGACAGTGGGAAGGATTTTGCTAATCTCACCTGGCAGAGCTCGTTTTGTGCCCTGCACAGCACTCCTGCTTCCTCCCAGTCCTTCTCTGCTGTTGTAATACACGAGCTTTGGTAACCAAATGTTCATTAGCAGTAACTTGAACTCAAAGTGTATCAGTCACATCTCTTCCCTTGCAAATTCTTTCCTGAACCAAAGTTTTTTGTTCTTCTAATTTTTTTTTTTTCTTCACTAAAATGTAGTTCATTAATGATCCCATATAGAACTGTTGCTCATGCTTGTTCAGGAACAGCAATCTCTCCATTGCTGTGCAGACAACCTCCTGTCTCACCACAGCAGTCAGTCTTCCCAGCTTCTCAGCCATTTTTTTGGACAGCAATAATTCTGGACACAGCAAGCATTGTGTGCCAGCAGTGAATGAAACCTTTAATTCTATTAAACTGTGGCCCAGGATTGCAACTGGCTATTCTGGGATTAGTAACTTTTAGGTATTCACTGGGAAAAAGAAGGAAGGAAGGAAGGAAGGAAGGAAGGAAGGAAGGAAGGAAGGAAGGAAGGAAGGAAGGAAGGAAGGAAGGAAGGAAGGAAGGAAGGAAGGAAGGAAGGAAGGAAGTGAGGGAGGGAGTGAGGAAGGAAGGAAGGAAGGAAGGAAGGAAGGAAGGAAGGAAGGAAGGAAGGAAGGAAGGAAGGAAGGAAGGAAGGAAGGAAGGAAGGAAGGAAGGAAGGAAGGAAGGAAGGAAGGAAGGAAGGGAGGGAGGGAGGGAAGGAGGGAGGAAGGGAGGAAAAGAAGGAAATGAAGGGAGGAAAAGAAGGAAAAGAAGGAAAAGAAGGAAGGGAAGAAAGAAAGAAGGAAAGAAAGAAAGAAGGATAGAAGGAAAGAAAGGATGGATTTTTAAAGACCAAAAGGCAGACTATAGTTGTGGCTGTGTATACTGTGTATTGTGTTCTTGGGAAATAGTACAAATGTTTCAAGATGACTGTAGTGCACCAAAGCAATTTCTTTCTTAGAACTCAGAGCTTGCAAGGAACAGAGAAATAGAAATACAGAGACAATTGCCTTTGACAGCAGGGAAAAAATAAAGCGAAAGGAAGAGAATATTTTTGATATTTAGTTTCCTGTCTCTCACTCCTCAAATTGTTAATTTTGGGGGCAAAAATAACACCCAGTGTGTTTGACTGAAATGGAAATATTTCTGTCTGAAGAGAAGTCCCTGGATCCTGGGAAGAGAAATGTGGTGTTTCCAACTGCTCTCCCTCCAGCACATGTCCTGCTATGCTATGGAGCACCATACTCCTCTGACAGCCACAGAAGCTGTGGTTTCCCTGGGAAAAGCAATTGGAAAGGAACCAGTGCTTAACTAGGGTGTGGGACCCTGACACCACCTCTGCCGGGTACTTTGGGGTAAAAATATTGCAGCTTAAGGCACATAGCTCCTTTAGAGATAGGAAATACCTTTTATTAATAAAAAACTATCAGCTCTCTGTAGTGACAGGGAAAACATTATAGGTGAGCAGCATCAGGGTGAGGGCTGCTTCTCTGTGTTATATGATCCTTTGCACAGCAAGAGCATGATGCAAGCGGAGGTCCCTGTGAACTCCTGTGAGAGGTTACTGGAAGAAACACCTGCAAAAGGGCATCCAATAGAGGCATCCAATATCTCCACCCCAGAAGGGAGAAACTGTGGCAGCATTCAGCTTTGCTGTCCTCCAAAAGAGCCACAGTAAACATGGTGTGACATCAGGCCACAGTGTGTCCCTCCTCTGTGGCAGCTCATAGGCACTCCATTGGGGAAACAAAAGGAGAACTGTGTCATTTTAGTCTGGGGAAGAGGAGGCTGAGAGGAGACCTTATTGCCCTCCTCAAATAGCTAAAAGGTGATTGCGGAGAGAGCAGAGTTTGTCTCTTCTTGCTGGTGACAGGTGACAGGACAAGGGGAAATGGCCTCAAGCTGTGCCAGGGGAGATTTAGGTTGGGTATCAGAAAGGGTGGTTAAGCATTGGAATAGGCTCCCCAGGGAGGTAGTTGAGTCACTGTCACTGGATGTGTTTTAAAACCATCTGCATGTGGTGCTCAGGGTCATGATTTAGCAGAGTGTTGTTAGAGTTAGGGTAGTATGGTCAGGTTGTGGTTGGACTCAGTGATCTCTAAGATCTTTCTCAACCTGAGCAAGTCTGTGATTCTATGTTTCTATGATATTTGGGAGAGATTTGTGAGCTGACGAAGAACGAATGAGTCAGTCCACATAGCAGTCTGATCAGGAAGCAGAGTCAGCTTTGGGCATCTTGTCTCCCTAAGGGAAATGTGAGGATGGCAGCTTTGGGCATTGTGCTGGTACCATTTCCATGAAGACCCACTTGTGAAGGTGGAGCATGGCAGAAGCAGACAGCTCAAAGCTATAATCTGGTAGGGCTGAGAGGCACAGTACTTAGGGGGTTTATTGGAAGGGAGGTCTGAAGGTAATAGCTCTTGACCTTCCAGCAGGAGCTCATGCAATAGAATCGTGGGTGCTAGCTGCCCACTGGTGAAGAGGTCTCCTGAAGCACACAGCACCTCCTGGCACCCATTACTGCCTTGTGTGCCCAAAGAATGAGTCCCCACTTCCTCCCACATTCCTACCAGCCCACCTCTCTTTTTGTTCACCATGCACAGCCTGAAATTCACTTTTAGGCAAAAAGCTGCATGATTGGTCAGCTGTGGGAAGGAGCTGCAGGGCTGGTGGAGTAAGAACCCCACCTTTGGTGTAGGCTTGGCAAGTCACCAGTGCCTGGGGTTTGGAAAACATTTGTGGCACAATGAGAAACACATTCACTTGGTTTTGAGCTCCTGGGTGAGTTTCCCCTCTGTAACAGCTCTGTTGCTAATGGTTCTGGAAGTCACCACAGCAGTGGTTTGGATGAAAGCTCCCTGCTGAGAGTAGGTTTATGTAATTGGTATTGTTAAATGTTGTAAATAAGTTCTGAGTTGTTGCTATGATAGGTCCTCTCTAAAAGGCCTAAGAGGAGATTCAGGGCTCCTCCTCCACACATATGTGGCCAGGCGAGCCCGTTCAAGATGGGATTGGAGGATCTACCCTTGGGCAGGTGAGCAGGGCACCTCTAAGCCGTCTTGCTGCAGAGGTTGTGGCTGCAAAGAGTGAAGTTGTATTGTGATCTGGGCTCTGGTTCAGACTGCTCTGAGCCCAGCAAGTCCTTGGATTCAGCAAGTGCCTGGCCATTGTGGAAGTGGAGGAGGTTAGTGTCTCACCTGAGGTCTCTGGTCTCTGAGCCCCCTACTCTTTCCTGTGAGAATAATCTTGTCCTGCCACATGTTGCCAATGTGCTTGGAGAAATGTCTCTAAAACATTGTATGCTCTTGTAGGAGAGGGATTTGGAGCCACTGTTGGCAAAGCACCATCGCTTCAAACCGGATTTCAAAACAAGGAAACAAACCACACTTTCCATCAGTGCTCACCCTCCTGGAGTGGCTTTGCTCAGGCAAATGGCTCCTCGTGATATTTTATTTCTCCGAGCACTCTGGGAGGGAGCTTGTTCTCTGGTCCAGAGATCCCCATTCAGGACAACCAGGCTGGAAGAGCCTGGGGAAAGGGAATGGGGACAGCAACCACACAGGGAAAAAGTAGACCTAAATATTTAATCCACCATCACATCAGCTTGATTCCCTGTAAGCAACTTGATGGAAATGAGCTTTTTATTTACATACATGCTCATGTATATGATATAAATAGGAAGTGATTCATAAATGCCATCATACTGTGTATGTATAAATCTTATGTATTTTGCTATGACTTCATATATCTATCTTAAGTGTGGGTAAAATAAAAGTGGTGAAGAGGCAAGAATACAAGGAGAAAGATACCGAAAGGAGAGCAAGAGGGGAGAGAATGCTGCAGTGACAACATGTGATGGGGCTGCAGTCTCCTGGGAGGGGCGCCTCTATTTCTCTGAAAGTCTCATCAACACCATGACGCTAATGTGCTGCCTTCATTTATTAATTCGCCAATTCTTTTTATTAATTGATTGCTTTTCTGCTTTTCTTTTTTGTTTGTTTGTTTGTTTGCTTTTAGTAAAGAGTACCCAGTTGTTCCCAGGAGCACAGTGAGACAGAAAGTGTCCTCCAATCACAGCCCCTTCAGTGGTGAGACCAGGGTCCTTTCCACCTCCTCCAACCTGGGCTCCCAGTACCAGTGTGAGAATGGGGTGTCAAGCACCTCCCAGGACCTGCTGCCACCTGCCAACCCCTACCCAATCTCCCAGGAGCACAGCCAGATCTACCACTGCACCAAGAGAAAAGGTCAGGCCTTCAATACTGCTGCTTGTGACTTTCCCCCTCCCTAGCATGACTTTGGCCATTACTTTGTAGCACTCTCTCACTGTGGGATGGGAGGCTCTGGCTTGCTTTGTGGTGCCTCTTGAAGATGGGCAAGGGCTGAGTGCTGTGCAATAGAAGCGGGGAGCAGCATGGAGTAGGGCTAGAAAACTCTTCTCACCTGTGGGATCCTGGATTCTTTCCTCTGGGAGCAGCTGCTGGCACCTTCCATCCGTGCTGAATCCACATTTGGCAAGATAGCTGGTGCTGGAGATAAAGTTGACTTATCTGTCTCTGTAGCCCTCAGTTAGGGTTAATCTCTGAGTGTAGATACCTTGACAGCTTGGATTTTGTGGTTTTTGTCTAAAAGTCTCACGGCTGGAAGACATTTGCCCATATGCAGAAAGCATTTCCACTTAAATGCTCAGTCTAATGAGCGGGGCATGGGATTGAAAATCATGATATCCATGTTCATTCCCCTCTGGCGTGACTGACCTGCTTTGACAGAGCTTGAGGGATCACACTGTGAGTACTTTACACTGACTGCTCAGCTCGTCCTGGCGTGAAGAGCCCGGGGTACCAGCAGGATAATTGTTCTCAGGCAGGAGCAGGCACTTTGTGGGCTCTCCCTTCCCCTCCCAGAGCAGTGGGTGTGCCCAGATGCAGAAATGCTTCAGGACTGGGAAAGCAAAAACATGAGATCAGGCCCAGACCCTCAGAGGAAAATAGGGAATTTCCAGGGCAGTGGTATGGGATAGGCAGGAGGTTGTGGCTGCCTACCCGGTTCACTTTTCTCCAGGATTTGGACTTGGTGCAAAGGAAAAGCCAAAAGGAGACAGCACGCACCACAGCATTTGGCTGCACGAAGTACTGCTCCAGCCTGGTAGCCTCTTCCTACAGCAGATATCTTCCTGCTTCCCTGCAGGGTCCTATCAGCAAGCCACATGCCATTATTTTTAGCATCCTAACCCCAGGGCACTGGGATGTGCAGTGCAGACTCAGGGTGAAAGTGGCAGATGCCAGGAAGTGCTGGCAGATGGGACAGCAGGGCAGTGGAAATAGAGGTCTCACCCTTGGTAAGTCCTCCAAGTATTGTAGCATTGCATCTGTGGACATACATGTATATATGCAAAACAAAAATTGTTGAGAAATCTTAATATTTTCATGTTGTGGAGCTGAGCCAAAGAGGGAGAAATGGAGGCATAATTTTCTGAGTCTTCCAGCTGGTGGGGTGACCCTGGTTCTCATACAGCCAGTATCCAAGCTGTGGGTAGAGAGTAAGGAACAGCAGTGCACTTCCAGAGTGTCCCCTGAGGTCCGAGTGAGCTGTATCACCCTTGCTCCCCCCATCCTGGTGTAGAATGATGGGTGCAAGCTGCTGGGACACGGGGGGACTGCCACTAAGCCTTATGGTGGAAATGGGACAAGAGATCACAGTGGCCCTTGGTGTCTCAGCCTGAGATCCAGCCTCGGTGCCCTGGGAGCTGAGCTTTTGACGTTCCTCTTCCCCTCCACTGAACATGAATAAAACAAGCTGGCCCAAATGGCAGCGGCCCTTCGGACAATCTGCATGTCCCTGCACCGCAGGGCAATTCATCATTTGCCTCCACATTGTAAAGTGATAAGGAATCAGCTGAGGTTTCCTTCCAGTTTTGGGATTCCCACTAAGTGGTGTCTCCATGGGTGGTTTCCCTCAATCCCTCAATTATCTCACTTCCTCTTATTGTCACAAAAGAGACGACTATCTGCCCCATAATAAGCTCCCCAGCCCCTTCTGGCCTGCGTGGCCCTTGCAGAAGTGCAGGAGACTGGCCAAGCGCGTCCTTGTCTGTAGGGCCGACGGCTCCTCATTATCTCCACGATGGCTTGAGTGGCACAAGCAGTTAAGGGCCTTTTATCAAAGCCGCCAAATGCTTTAATCAAAGAGAAGCAGCGTCCTGTCCGACACCACCGCCTTCTTCCCCAAGCTGTGTGTCTCAGGAGCCTGAGCCTCTGCTCCCCTTGCTGTGCTTTTTCCCCTCCCATGCATGCAGCAAATCGAAAACAGTCACGGGGCTTAAAGGAAAGAAACACAAAGTTAATGGGAAACAGAGAGCCAACGTCAGCTGCCAAGCAGCGCTTTGCAAAGTGAAATTAATTAAAACAACAACAACAACAAAAACTGAGGGATGAGCAATTCTTCTCAGATAAATCAGAACGTGATCCAAGGTTTCATCTCAAACTCAGGCTGAGCGTGGCACTTTCTTCTAGCGCTGAACAGGATCTGCATTAAACTAGGGGAACTAATCTTATCTATTATATTTATCTTCCTCTTGCAACATCTCCTCCTTCAGCGAAATACCAAACTCTTCCTCACACCTCTCCTACTTTCCTACTGCAGTCTCTCTGCATATATTTTAATAAGTCTTCTCATCGGAGAAAAAGTGTAGGTAGGAGTGTGTGCAGTTCCAATCAACTCCTCAAGCACTGGCTCTTCTTCAGTCAGGTTAGGATTTGTCTCCAGCAGATGATTTCCTTCTCATGAGGCTATGGTTATGGATAAGTGCTCCTAGGGGCAGAGGGCAATCTGGCTGTGTTCAAGACCAGCTGGTGTCTGTATCTTCTGCAGCAAATACCAGCCCCGCCTTCAAAGATAGGCTCTCGAATAGTGCTCCATCCAGCTTTGACATCCCATGGTGTTTCTTTGGAGCCCTTCTAATCAGGAGGGTGACTCTTCGTTTAGGCTTGGTAAAGAATGGGTCTGTTTGAGCAGCTAAATGGCACCTTATTCAACTTCTCCTTTCTCGGTGACTTGAGACCAAGATTTCACTCTGTGGTTGACAGTGTTGTTCTTAGCTGTCAAGTCAAGATGGATTCACTCTGTAGATCTGATATGGGGTTGCATTAGGGGAGAGCAGCAGGGATGTTATCTCTGAAGGCTCCTCTGTCTCAGGGAGCAGATCCCCTTCTGGGTGAGGAAGGAAGGACACATCCCAGAGCACCAATGTGGCAATTCCTGGTGCCTGGGTGGGAACGCGGGGTCAAGGCATTGGGAATGACCCCAGTATGATGTGACAGGTTGCTGCTCTAAGCACTTTTTGACCATGCTGAATGCTAGGGAATAGCAGTCCTGAAGGCTTGAATTGTCCTGTGTTGAATCCTAGCTCCAGACTGACATTGCCTATGGCATTTCACCTGGACTGCTCTGGGATGGATGGATGAACTCCACAACTGTATCCTCCTAAGCAGTGGCCTCATGTCTTGATGTGGATTTTTAGGTTGCAACAAAGATCTGTTAAATCTTTGCCTTTTCTCTAGTTTTTCTCCACTTCTTGCTGTCTCACTGCTGTGCTTGAGAAGCCCAAAAGGACTTGCCAGCAGGCAGCTGGCTTTCTGACTTTCGTTTTAGCCCCACATCCCAACTAGGGCATCAGGGCTTGTTTTCCCTTGTGTTATCCTCTCTCTCAGACTTCCTGTGAACTAAAAAGTCATCCCTCTAAACCTCTGCTCCCTCCCAGCCTTACACAATCCCAACCACTTGGCAGATTTCTGGGATGCTTGTGATGCTGAACAGGAGGCGACTGGAACAGCTTCTCCCGGGGGAGGTTATAAAAGTTGTCATGTTGGCACTCTGAGGGAGAAGAGGGATGCGGCAGAATCCACCGGCTCCAACCAGCAAGAACTGTGTCGTTCAGCCACTCAGCTTGGATGTGACCCTGCCCATGGGGAAGTATATATCACTCATCTTCTTCTTGTTCTGCTGAGGTTGGTGGAGATGCAGCAGTGCCTTTCTCCCTTTTCCTCAAGAACAGGCACTGTTAGGGTAGGCCGACCTTTTACCAAGCTGATTTCTCCCTCCTCACAGGGAGATGGGATTTCTTTCTCTTGGAGAAGCCGTAGGAACAGGGCTGAATAAAAGCCAGCTGTAGGATGACCTTCTTCTCATCCTGCCAGCATTTTAGGAGTTGCAATGAGTTGGTCAAGCCCTGAGCTACCTCACAGCCGGAGGTGTCTGCAGCCTGGGAGGATGCAGCAGATGTAGCTCGAAGCCTGGAGCAATTGGCTGCAGAGGAGCCTGCCTCCAGGGTAGGAGGTGTTCACGAGGCCAGTGGTGCTTCATGCAGATACTCCACTGCCTCACCAGGTGATTGATGCTTTCTGTGCCTCTGCAGGCAGTACCAGCCATTTACTGCCTTCAGCTTCTGGTGCTGTTTTTCTTTCTTTCTGCCCTGTATCCCTTTCTGTGTTCCCCTGCAGTGCAATGCAGCCACTGCAAGCAATGTGACTGCTAAAATAACTGCCATGGCCACAACACATCTTAGGTTTCATGTCCCAGGAAATATGACTTGTCTGCCCTTTAGGGATGCACGTTTTGGTTGAGTCCATCCTTCTCTTCTTTGACAGCCCTCGTTGGCTTTGTACATTTTGATTGGCTGTTCCCACTCATGTTAGATTCAGATGAGAAACCAGAATGGGCAAAACAACAGCATTAATGATAATCAGCCATTGTCTGTCCCTCATAAAATTGGGACAAACCTACTGTAATGTCTGGGAAGTGCGAGTGAGCTTTAAAAACTGAAACATTTGGGTCCCATTCTTCATTGTCCTTTATCCCATGGAGATGAGTGTCATGAATTAGAAAGGAGCAATCCTTTGCAGGGGATTTGCACAAGGGGAAGAGGTGGGCCCTGGGTACCCTGAAGTCCAGAGATTTTACATGTTTGCATTTCATTTTGGATAGATCTAATCCTGGAATTGGGAAAATTCTATTTAAAAAGTCATTTGTGTGGTATTTACAATCCAGCTGGAAGTAGTAAATACCGGAAATCTTGGAACTGCTTATGCTCTCATTCAAACTCCTTCATTAGATAGATCATCTAAGAGGGAGCCAGTTTCCACACATTCTGCAGGCTCCATTTTCCTTGGATCCACTTCTGGCAGCATCCCCTGCTTGGCAGAACCTTCTGCTGTTGGAGATTTGTGCAGTATCAAGGGGATGCTCACGAGAGCTGGTTGCCACCCCAGGCTTCCAAGAACAACAATGAACACAGAGGATGGCCAGCATCTCCCGAAGGTGTGCCACTGGGAAAAGGACAAGGGGGGCTGTTAGGGAACCAGCATCAAGAAGTAAAGGCAGAGCAGAGCAGGTTTCTCCACTATGCCCTGCTGAGAATGTGAGAGAACCTTCAGGAAGAGGGTTGTGGCCTGGGGACCCACTGTCCAGGTTCCAGAGCAGTTGGGTTGGCTCTGAGCTGCCCAGAATGGGGATGGCTCTTTTTTTAGCACTGTGAGAGGTGGAAAAGCAGTAGGAGGAAAAGCTGGAGGGCAGGCAGGCACTGTTAGGATGGGTTGTGATCCTCTGTTAACATCCTCTTTGGAGATAGGTGCAGTCCCCTCGAAGTCCTTAAGAACTACAATACCAGTGTCCCTCCTATTTCTGACATCAGTGAGCACGGGTCTAGAAAGAACAGCAGAGCACTTGCTGGAGCTCATAAAGAAGAGGAGGCAGCTGTAGGACTTCCACTCATGTGCTGGTTGTTTTTGTTTTCTTCTTTCCACCTGCAATGCATTCTGGAAGCAGACCTGTGGCTCTGCAGCCCTGCCTGGCTGTGCTGCAGCAGGGAGTGGAACGTCTGGGTTCAGTGGAAAAATCAGCAGCCTCAGGTTGTAAGTCAGGCACACTTCAGCACAATGGAAAAACAGGGTTTGACTGTTTTGAGCTTCATACTTAAAAAAATAAAATAAAATAAACAGTCAAACCCCAAGCCAGCGGCTTCTAACGCCAGCAGAGTAATGCGGTTTAATGCTGAAAATTTTATTAGCAGAACAATGCTTCATTTTACAAGACATTGTTTTTCCACCCCAGCGTTCTTATTACTCAGTGGTGGGTTAAGGATCCAAAGCTTTTAGGCTGTGTGTAGAAGCTAGCACTCCGGCTGGTACTGCAGATGTGCCTTTTGTGATGGACCACGCTCAGAACCAGGACTCACAGCTTTCGTCACCTTCACCTATGCAACAAACCCCATCAGAAGTGAGCGCAGTGATACACTGCTGCACCCACTTACCATTTTGGCTGTGCCAAAGATGCTGTTTCAATGCGTGGCTCTCCTGTCCTTTGGTGCCTATATGTGCTGGCTGCACTGGGCGGGCATTTGAGTGAGGTGATGGGTTATATTACAAGCAGAGCAGGTGCAGCTTCCAAGAGAAACATATGGCTGCTTACTGCGGTAAGGGTCAATTCTTGGTGGTATTCTTTCCAATTGTTATGCCTTTAGATGGAGTGCCAAGTTTTGCCCGCACCAGGAATCCTGCTCTTAGAGCAGGAGCACCAAGCTAACGTGGGTCAGAACAAGCTCTCCTCTCCTTGCCTCACTGACCTTAAAATCTCTCGGTGAAGCTCTTGTTCCTGGGAACTCTGCCATTCATTCCAGCAGAGCTGGATTTCATTTGATGACCCTGTGAATGAATAAATAAGTGCATATTCATTTATTCATTTTACTCCCCCTAGAGATTTCACCTACATTGTTTATCTCCTTCCTGCTGTTGGCACAGAGATGCTGCAGGAAACAAAGGGCTCTGCAAGCTGTGCCTTGTTTGGAGAAAAATTCACTTTTTCATTTTGCTTGGCCCCAGCACACAGCCCTGCATGGATTTATGTTCCCCTTGGCACAGCTGAAGGCTGGGGCTGTTAAATCTGATTGCCTCACCTCTGTCATAGCTGGTGCTCTCACAGTGGAGTTTTTATTGTATCACTTATCACAGAAGTGTATAATTGTATAAGCTTTTAATTAACAGTATCAGCTCTGGGAATGGGGATGTCTGTTAGGGTGCTGTGTCTGCAGGCAGGAGATGTGCTGGCAGCCAACGGAGAGGAGTCTGGTGTCATGGGGTATCACCAGAAATAATACTTCTCCAGATCCGTTCTGCAAATTACATTGCTTCTCCTCCCGGAGCTCCCAGCTAATCCCTCTCTCCCCAGCCCAGCAGGCACGATGAGCCGCTTCAGTGGGATCTGTTCAGAACAGTCCCAAGGAAGGGCTGTGACAGCACTGGGAGATGTGTCTGCAGCAGAGGGACTGGAGCTAGATGGCCGTTAGGGCACGTCTGCCTCAGCCTTGCGTGGGCTGTGCCCTTGGTAGAAGGAGGACGGTCCTGGCAGCCTGCAGAGAGGGAGGTTCAGCTGAGGGCATGGCATTGTTGTTTGCTAACAGGAGTTTTCTGTCCCAACAGATGAGGAATGTTCCACCACCGAGCATCCCTACAAGAAGCCCTACATGGAAACTTCACCGGCGGAAGAGGATCCTTTCTACAGGTCCAGTTACCCCCAGCAACAGGGACTGAACACTTCGTACAGGACTGAATCAGCCCAGCGCCAGGCATGTATGTACGCCAGCTCTGCTCCCCCCACGGACCCCGTGCCCAGCCTGGAAGACATCAGCTGTAACACGTGGCCCAGCGTGCCATCCTACAGCAGTTGCACAGTGTCTGCCATGCAACCCATGGACAGGTTACCCTACCAGCATTTCTCTGCCCACTTCACCTCAGGGCCTCTGATGCCCCGGCTCAGCAGCGTGGCCAACCACACGTCCCCCCAGATAGGAGACACCCATAGCATGTTCCAGCACCAGACCTCGGTTTCTCACCAGCCCATCGTGCGGCAGTGCGGACCTCAGACCGGCATCCAGTCTCCCCCCAGCAGCCTGCAGCCTGCAGAGTTCCTCTATTCCCACGGTGTGCCTCGAACCCTCTCGCCCCACCAGTACCACTCGGTGCACGGCGTGGGCATGGTGCCAGAGTGGAGCGAGAACAGCTAACGAGGCAGTCGATGGAAATGGGAAATAAATAAATAAATAAATAAAATAAGATAAAATAAAATAAATAAAAAAGCCGAGGGGAAAATAAAAAAAAAAAAAAAAGGGAAAAAAAAATCCAACACACCATCGTTAACAAAAATGAGAGCGTTTTGCAAGACTCCTTTAAGCGAATGTTCAGCACCAGCACTCGAGAGGGACAGACGCTGACCGTGCCAACGGTTGGAAGCACACATGGAGCACTCATTGGCCATGGCACGATGTGCCCCCCCTGGTGCTTTGGTTCTGAAGGCAAACCAGGGGAGTAGAGCGCTGACCCCCAGCCCGTGTCTCTGCCACAGCCCTCCCCTGCCCGGCCCTCCCCTGCTCCTCTCCTTCCCAAAGGGACATGTGACTCCTGCTGCCTTTCTCAACACGGCCAGAGTGCTGGGATGAAAACAACTATGATGTTACTTTTTTTTTTTTTTTTTTTTTTTTTTTTGTGGTGTTGATGTTGACAATGTTATATAATAAATAATAATATATATATACATTTTCTTTCCATTTTCTCAAAAAAAAAAAAAAAAAAGACAAAAAGACAAAAAGAATGAAAGAAAAAAAGACACCAGCCTTTTTTTTCTTTTTCTTCCTTTTTTTTTTTTTTTTTTTTTTTTTTTTAACCAAGGGTGGAATTTAGAGCAGTGTTCTTTTTATTTTTTTCCATTGATGTGGTCATCATCACTCTTCAATGGCAAAAAGGTGCTTTTATCCCACAAATAAGAAAGCCAGGCTACCTACCTCAGCTGGTGATTTACTGTGAGCGGGACCCTACTCCCCCAAAACATCACATCCCCAACACACAGCCAATGAGCAGCACCTCCCCATCGCTGCCAATCCCTCATCCCTCTCGCCTTCCCCATCATCTCCCATCTTCCATCTCCCATCTGCCCATCTCCCGGTCTCTCAGCCCACCAGCTGCCCCACAGACACCCTGGAAGGGTTTGGAAGGGCCCACAGCCTGGCTGCTGCTGGCGCACTACAGCTCATGGGAATGGGAGGAGGGGGAGGAGGGAAGGAGAGTGTGCAGGCAGAGAGAGGAGAAACAGCATTTGGAAAATCGATAACCATGATTATTTTATCAGAAATTCTTTCTCATCCTGTCTCTCTCTCAAAAAAAAAAAGAAAAAAAAAAAGAAAAAAAAAAAAAGAGAAGAGATACATGGCTGGGTATGCTGAGCTATTGAGTGTGTTTTAACAAAGCAAGAAATGGACATGGCAGGCCAAGGGGGGTGGAGGCAAGAAGAATAGGAAAAGCAAATTCATGTAATGTCTGTGCAGGGCTCTTCAGGTGTAACATTTCCTGGTACAGTTTATTTATGGAGGTTGGAGTAAGTCCTCCTGTGTTACAAAGCCAGTAAAGCGGCTGACTCATAGGATTCAGTTTATTGAAACTGAAGTTTGCTTTCTCTTCTTTTCTTCTTTTTCCCCTTCCTCTCCAAGCTGTGCCTGCACTCTATAATTCATATATATTTTTAATTAAAAGTAATTCTAACCAACAGAAGAGCTATACCTGTGTGTCAGCAAAGTAGAACATGGGTGTGAGTGCACAGAAAGGCGTGTAAGTGTGGGAGGGACCCCAGACAGATACCCTCACCGTGCATCTTGACTTAGCTATGCTCTCCTACTCTTTTGTGGAAGTTTATATCTAATAAACACCACATGCTACAAAGTACAAGGGACCTGCCCACCTTTTTTTTTTTCCTTTTCTTTTTTTTTTTTTTTCCCCTATTCTTTTTGCTTGATACTCAGAAGTTTGATTTTCATTTCTTTCTGGTGGACCAGCTACACCACCCCAATGCCTTTAGGCAGCAGAGGGCTGAACTTGCTGGGTCCAGTGCAGTGTGGTTTGCCTCTACAGCTCTGTGTGGGCCTGTGGGCCTTTCCCACCCAACAGTCTCCCCTTGTCAGCCCTAAGGCTCTCAGGGTTGCTTTCCAAGCAAGGAAGATTAGGAGCAGCCTTGGAAAGCCAGCTGGGTGTGTGAACCTTATGGAGGTGGAGCTGAACCTCTTGCCATGCAGGTGGGGATATCTGGCCTGGGGGAGGAATTTGGGGCTGCCTCCCAACTTCAGCAAAAAAGGGGAGGTTACTGTGTTCTTCATGAGTGGGAGAAAGATGAGATAACAGCTAGAGAAAGAGATTGCACTGAAATAGGCTGCACACAAGAGGTCCAGATGTGCCCACACCAGCAGGATTGTTGGTAAGGTACTGGGGACACCTTGCTGAGGGGCAGAATGTGAGCAGGGACAGATGGTGCTCCCACCCAGTTATCCCCACTGCAGGCAGGACTTGGGGAACGGCACCCATTGGGGCTGCCCTGGTGATGGCTGCAGTGCACCTCTACCTGCTCTCTGCTTTCACTGCCTCTGCACGCAAGAAGTGAGTGGCACTCGTTGGTGTTGATGGGGCATGCAGAGTCAATAAGCAGTGCTATGCCCCCGTGGGAGCTTGCACTGGGCAGCAGCAGAAGGAGATGCAAGTATTGTATAGTCTGGGCATGGCTGGGATCTGGAGCTACACACAGAGCTGCCTGTCTCCATGGGGCCACCCTCAGGGAACTGCTCAAATGTTGTGCTGCTCCGTAAATCATAAGCTGTTCCTCCAGAATTTGCAGTTACCCAAGATTAATGATGGAGTAAATTGAATTTTGAGTTAAGGAATAAGAAATTGCACCATATTTAGCTGTCAATTACATTGTACTTTCCAGGCTTCATCATCCCACTGCTAATCATGTAATCATCTAATCACTTTATGGCAATTTACATGTAATTAAATGGCCAGTGGTTATGAAGTAAGGAGAGAGGTCTTACCAGAAACGTGTGCCATGCATCTCAAAGAATGCTAAGGAAACTGAACCCATATGGTAAAATATTTCTCAAACTTTGGAGGAAAAGCTTTCAACTTTACTAACCTCCTCCACATCCCGAGTTACCTTTTTGGCTCTTCAGGGAGCTGCGTGGGTATGAGGAGCAAGGGTCATCCATGGGAACAATCACAGTGGCAAAACCAGAAACCTGGGGTGGGTGGGAGGACACAGCAGTGCTTTCTGCTCCTGTTGAGTAGGTTACTGGGTGAAGCTCAGTACGGCACAGCATGGAGCAGGCTCAGTGGCACCACAAGAGCACAGCCTGCTATTCAATCTGAGTGAGTAGGGCTGCAATGATGAGACTGTGTAAAAGAAAAAAAGTGATGCCTGAAAGTCTTGCGGTGAGTCCCAGACTAGGTTTGAACGTGCCTTGCTTGTGCTGGGCCTGGAGAAATGAATGTCCTCCCAGCTCATTAGCTGAAGGGATTTCCCTCGTTTCTCTTCTTAAGGACTTAATCTTCAACAGAATCATGGCAATGATGATACAAGAGCTAGGGAGAAATTACACGCAAGTGAATGTCATTGAAAGAACTAAACTCTAATCAGAGCTAAGCTGACAATTCAGCAACACTGAAACATACCCTAGTGTGGTATGGGGGAGTGTGTATAGCCATCACAAGCCAACCTCTTGCAGGCAGGGTGGAGCTGGATGATCCTTAAGGTCCCTTCCCATCCAAGCCATTCCATGATTCTACAGTTCCAGAATTCCCTTTTTGCCTACAAGTTCCAGCTGTCATCAAACACACTTCAGAGCTGCCTTGTGGCTTCGCCATAAGCACTACTGAGGGTACCTCTGCTGCGGGCTTGGGGACAGAGAGGGTGGAATATGGCCATAAGGTTTAGTGGGCATAGCTGTGATGAGTTGATGGTTGGATTACATGATCTTAGTGGTCTTTTCCAACCTTAATGATTCTATGATTCTCTGAAGAGCCCTGGAGATCTGGACTTGCTGGTGCCTCTTCCTGGCAAAGCACCCAGATGGTGCCCCCAATGGTGTCCCCAAGAGAGGAGAGCCCTGGGCACTGAGAATGGTGTGATGGGTGCAGGAGGTGGTGGTGGCCCATAACCATGTTGGGACGATGGCCTTCAGGCTGCCTTGGCAGCACGGAAAGCAGCCATGAAACATTCCTAGGCAGAAAAACAGAGCTTTCTGTATGAACCATAATAAATAAATGCAGGCTGTGCAATTCCTTCAACCAGAGGAAGAGAGAGAGAAACCCAACCTCTGCTCAAAACATCTTTTAAGGAGCGAACGCCAACGTGCAGGCTGTGGTCACAGACGTTGTTTTTGCAGCTGCCTGCCTCGGCTAAACCACTCTGCAGTCACCATCGTTTTTACCTAGGGAAGCTGCAGATGCCCTGAGCGGGCTAATAGAGACCTCTTTGTTTGCCCCTATCAGCTTGTTTCAACTTTGGGCAGCAAGGACAAGGGCTGTTAGCAGGAGCTGGCTTTTCATGTGGAACTTGCAGGTCCTGGAAGCCTGACATGGTTGAGGTTCCTGCTGGGGGTGAGGCCACCTGAGTGGGGCAGAGGCACTGTGAGGCCTTTCCCACCGCCCCAGACAGAAAACAGCCCTGTGCTTCTGGGCTTGGCGAAGAAAACAGTCCAAAGCCTCAGGATTCTTGCCCATAAATCCAACCCACAATACCATAGATTTGTATGGTGCTGCCAACTTCGACAATTTTATGCTGAGTCCTGTGTGATTTGCAGTGTTTTTTATTTTAATTTTTTTCTCTTTTTAAGTTTCCAGTTCCTGGAGCCCTGTGATTATATGAAATTCTCAAGGGATGCTGAGGGCTATTATATTTTTTTTCCCCCCTTTTTCTGCTCAGTTTTAGGCTGCATAATAATAATGGAAATTTTACCGGGGAGGAAAGTGAGGCAGAAAAGAAGCAGCTTGTCTGGAGTTGGGATGAGGATTCATCACCAGACAAAAATATTTTGCTTTCTATTTTTTTGGTACGTGCTCTCCCTGGAAAAGTGAATGCTTTTGCTGCATTTTTTTGGGTGGTTTTTTTTTCTTTTTTTTTTTTTTTTTTTCTGGACTAATAAAGTCTTTAAAGCTTGAAGTGAATGGAAAATGTTCAGAAAGTGGCCTGAATAAATTTCTGCCCCTAGGAAAAAAAAAAAAAAAAAGAAAAAAAAAAAAAGAGAAGAATATTTTGTTTATATTTAGGACCTTTTCTGAAATTCCAATGGAAATTTTTTCCACCCACATTCCATTCAGAATGAAACTGTGACGTAATTCAGCAGGAAGCCCCATGCTCAGCATGGGCTTCCTTTGGCGAATCATAGAATCACAGAATCCTAGAATGGCCTGGGTTGCAAAGGAGCACAGTGCTCATCCAGCTCCAACCTCCTGCTGTGTGCAGGTCACCAGCCAGCAGCCCAGGCTGCCCAGAGCCACATCCAGCCTGGCCTTGAATGCCTGCAGGGATGGGGCATCCACAGCCTCTTTGGGCAACCTGTGCCAGTGCCTCACCACACTCTAGGTGAAAAACTTCCTCCTAATATCCAACCTAAACCTCCCCTGTCTCAGTTTAAAACCATTCCCCCTTGTCCTATCACCATCCACCCTTGTGAACAACTGTTCCCCCTCCTGTTTGTATTCTCCCTTCAAGTAT